TTGATGACAGATCTACGGCATCCGAATATCATTTGTTTGCTTGGTGTGATACTGAAAGGGGAACCAATGTGTATGCTCTTTGAGTACATGACTCAAGGAGATTTGCATGAGTTTCTAATCTGTCATTCTCCGAGATCGGATGTTCCATTAAATAATAGTGGCGGAAAAATTCTGGAACAACCGGAGTTTTTGCATATTGCTTTACAAATTGCTTCTGGTAGATATTGATTTTCTTACAATTAGGTTGATGATAATTTTGTTTTACATATAATAATTATTGTTCTTCTTAGGCATGGAATATTTAGCTAGTCATCATTACGTCCATCGTGATTTGGCAGCAAGAAATTGCCTAGTAGGCGATAATTTAACAGTCAAAATCTCAGACTTCGGTCTGTCGCGAGATATATATAGCAGCGATTACTACAGAGTACAATCCAAGAGTTTACTCCCTGTTCGATGGATGCCACCCGAGTCGATTCTTTATGGTAAATTCACTACCGAGTCGGATGTATGGAGTTTCGGAGTTGTACTCTGGGAAATTTACAGCTATGGCTTGCAGGTAAAATTAAAGTTATCAAATTAAAAGTAATAATAATAAATTTTATAATGTTTTCTTACAATTTATGCATTTCTGTTTAGCCATATTATGGATACAATAATCAGGAAGTTATAGATATGATTCGCTCGCGGCAACTATTACCGTGTCCTGAAGATTGCCCGACGATGATTTATAGTTTGATGATCGAATGCTGGCACGAGGTAGCGAATCGTAGGCCACAATTCCCGGAAATACATCATCGACTGCATAATTGGTACATAAATCAAACCTATTTGAGTGATTTCTGTAACGAATCTATCACCAGTTATTCCGGCAGCAGTCACAAGAGTACGAACAAGACTAATTCGACACAACTGTCAGCGCCAATATATAAGAGTGATCAAAAAACAGGCACGGAACCAGTAAGCATGTGTAATCTTAACGATCATAATAACGTGAAAAAAATGCTACCACCAACAAATACTTTTCCGAATTCTAATTGCGTTGAGCAGAGACCAAATTGTGGTTTTAGCACGGAGCATGGCACACCAATAAAAACGTCTAATTACCAGAATCCCACTACGAATGTCAATCTGAACGATGTCTACGACGACAAACAGTGTTGCTCGCCCAAATTGAGTGGCGCAAAGAAAGTTTTACCTGCGGTAGTACCTCAGTCGGGTATTCCCAAGCCAAACGTGCCTAATGGCTCAAGACCGATGCAAAACGGCGCGCAATTAGTTGTCAGGTTACCAGATCCCAGTAAAGTTATGACTGAAACAAGGGTATCAAAATGAACGATTTCATTCGCGATCACGAATGATTCACCTTCGATCAAAATGCAGCTCGAAACAAAATGCAGCTTCTGATTTTCAACAGAAACATTAGCTCCTTACCATGTTCGTTCACAACTTCAAGAATTTGGAATTCAGCAATTGTAGGTTGTCATCAAAATAGCCACGGCCAGTTTTAAAAGAGGAAAAAAGAAGCATCATCACCGAATGCGTTGTTTATATATTTGTCATGATATTTGTCAGTGTCAATGAAAACATATGTTTATTCTTGCGATACTGTCAGATATACTTTTTTTTCGATAATATTATAAATGAATAGGGTAGATACAAAGAGCTGCTACTACTAATCATTGCCATATACATTTATTTATTTTTACAAATATATACCTATTTTATATTGGCTCTTATTATTAGTTCGGATAACGTATATCTAGTGTGTTTCCTCTTACAATCTATTATTTTTTTGGATGTGGTATCGAACAAACAAGATAGACACAAAGAGTAGCTACAATACTTAATCACTGCCATATATATGCATTTATTTATTGTTATAAATATACACGTATTTTATAATATATAATATTACCATTTATTTTTAA